GCACCGGCACCGTCCGCCTCGCCCCTGGCTGTCAGCGTCCCCTAATCCCTGGTCAGAACCTGAACCCTGGTTCTCTTTCCTTTCTGGGCTCAGCTGTCCCCACCTCCATCCCCTCCCCCTGGGCTGCTTTCCCGCTGACCCTGCAGAATCCTTCGCTAAGCTCTCCACTTGCACCAGTCAGTCCAGCAGCGAGCCCGCGTGTGTGCGGAGACGAGCATGCCCGCTCGCGGGGTCCGGTCACTCATGCCCGCCTTGGTGCCTTGGTTCCGGCAGCCTTGGGCCGAGAGCCAGGGCGGCAGGACGTTGGCCCACAGACACTGCGACCCCCGCCCGTGCCCTCACAAAGCCCAGAGCAAAGGTGCTACCCCGCCGCCCAGGGCGCAGAGGCCGCCTCCAGCCAGAGTGATGCGTTTTGTCGAAAACAGGACAAAGCTCTCCCTCCTCAAGGGGCGCCTGGCTCTGCGTCTCGCTGAGGACCCTCTTAACGCGTTAATTGTACTTTTACTCTTTCCTGTTTTTTTCTCAACTGTGTCCATGTCGGCGACTTTTCCAAATAAAGGTTTTCACTGTCCTCCCTGTGGCTGTCTCTCCCAGGGGTTAAAAGCCCCAGCGTGTTCGCACCCGAGGGAGAGCTCCGAGGTGGTTAGGGCCACCCCAGGGGCCTGCCTTGGCCAGACCCCACCCATGACACCCCTCCTCTGGGTCTGGGGAAAAGTCGGAAAGTAAAGACCCTGTCTGTTCCTGCAGAGGTTCTGGGAGGGGCTCTGACACCCTGGGCTGCAAGAATCAGAAGCAGGTTTGGTCATGGGGGGGACAGGGGGGCGAGCCGGCCAGATCCAACAAGGTAAATCCTCATTAACCACCAAAAGGGCCCGCATTCTGACTTCTGGAGGGGGTCGGGATCTGGGGGCCCCATGGGAGACTCAGTTCAGGGCAGTGAGACTGTGAGTCCCCGTCTCAGGAGGGTGGGGTGGGGCAGGGGAGGCAGGGAGGGCTGGGCTGCACTTGGGCTGCCGATGAAGAGGCCGGTGTGCAGGCAGGACACCCACTGCCCGTTTAAGGAGCCAGGAGAAGAGATTCTAGCCGAGAGGGAGCCTGGCAGGTGTCCCTTGGGTGGGGCCACTTGATGCCCCACAAAACGTGGCTGTGAGAGCCAAGTGGCCGGCGGTGGGGGCAGCATGGCGCCCGGATCCTCTCTGACCCTGAGGAGAGCAACACCCCATGTAGAACTGGGGGTCAGGCACAGATCTCCCGGGGTCTTCCCTGGCGGACGTCACACTCGGCCTCCACGGAACCCCATAGCCGCTGTGTGCAAGCGTCCACTGCTCCACTGTCACCAGGAGCCAGCCTGCGGGTCACCTGCTCTGCCTGACCACCCGCCAGTGCGACCTTGACCCAGTCACCTGCCCCTCCACCTCGGTGTCCTCAACTGCAAACTGGGCTCGGAACATGGAAGCACCGTCCGAGAGGCTGTGGGCCCGGTCCCCTCACAGGACAGGCGCCACACACCTATATCTGGGCCAAGGCAACTCGAGGGCCCTGGACAGTCCATGGCAGGGAAGCACAGGACCGGCAGGAGAGGGCAGCTTGGGGGAGAGGGGGCGCCGGGCCTGCGAGTCTCTGCAGGACGCCCCTCCTCCCCGCACTCGGGCTCCTTCCTGGTTGCCCAGGTCTGCACCCGGTCGGGGGCTGCAGTGTGGGCCTGCGGGTGCTCCCGGCCGGCAGGCCTCCTCACCGCGCCTGAGGGTGGTCGCCCCAGGGATCTCTCCCTGAAAGAAAGTGAGAAATCAGAGGTTTCCCCTTTAAGAAGAGTTGCTACCTTTAATCCCTGAATCTCTCTCGCTGGGATCAGCTGGGGTCCTGGGATCCAGCTCCTGGCTGTCCTTCTCCCCGCACCACCACCCCCTCCCGCCTCCTGACATCCACAGGATACAGACAGGGTCCTGCTTCAGTCCACGGAACTCGGCTTTTAAAAATACGAAGCTATGAGGGAAACCTCAGGCCCCACCAGGTCTGCATCCTTTCCAAGTTTGTGAAAGCAGCGTTTAGAACCATTGTGTGAAGTCCGGCAAACAAGTCAAAGCCAGTTACCCCATTACTGTAAGTGGGCTGGGACCCCCCTCTCCTTTCTGGGCCAGGAGCAGCCGCGGCCTCTTGGCTCTGACACCGGCTCCCCCTCTCTGTGCAGCTGGAACTACGTGGCACAGGGTGGGTGAGGGTGCAGAGCACTGTCAGGGGGCCTGCCACCCCCACCCCATTCACCCCGACTAGGAGCTGCGGGGGCAGTGCCTGGCCTCTCTCTTGGCCCTGCTACTCCTAAAGCCTCTGGCCGCAATTCCTTCCTCTTCTCTGGGAAGTGTGGTCCTGGAAAGGAGGGGGGTCTTTGGGGCCCGAGGGGTGTTCTGAGGGCCCCTGCCGGCTCCCACTCATCCCCCATCCAGTCTGATCCATCGGCCAGTGTGGGACAGACAGGGCGTGTGCAGCCCATCTCTGGGACCTTTCTCCCAACCCAGCCCCACATCCGTCCAAGTGTGGGGCTCAGAGGCTCCAGAGGTTTGGTCAGAGCCCTGCCTCCTTTGCTTCGCACATGCGGCTGGGGCCTGGGGCGGAGGTGCTCCCCAAAGTCGGCGCCCGCCACTCAGGCCCCTGCTGCGTCTGCGTGGACAGAGGAGGACTGTGGCTTCACCCTCCTTGGTTTGCACTCTGTTTCTTTGTCGTCCTCTCGCTCTCAGACCCTGGATGCAGCGTCCTGGTGCGTGTTCTGCCTTCAGAGGCATCCCATCCCCTCACCCCCGATGGTCCTGGTCTTTCAAGGGAAAATCAACCACCCTTATGTTCACCACTATAGCCAGTGTCTGGTGTTTATGGTTTTTTGCACTGAGAAGATGCAGGAAGGAACAACTGTTCACCTGTGATTTCTGAGGGCACCCGGGAGGCTGCAGCTTGCCGGTTGAGACCTGCGGGCCAGTGTCCTCCAGTCCGGTGTCCCCGACTGCAGGTCCCTGACAATGCCTTCCCGAGGCAAGATTTTAAGTTCAGTGGCTCCTCTGTCTTTCAGCTGCTGGGATGATGACACTGAGACTGAGACCCCCTCCTCCAGCTGAGGCCCGATGGCTCCTCAGGAGGGCGTGAGGCTCGGAGTCCGTGCAGCGCTGGTGGCCGTGTGGCATGGCACGATCACTTTAGGGCCCCTGCAGGTCCCTGAAGTCACACGTGCGTTTCCCACACAACCCACCACTCCCCTCCTGAGCCCCTGTGTCCAACCACAGCCTCCAAAGAGCGTGTCCTCCCGCCCCAGGAGACAGGACATCAGGGAGAGGTCCACCCGCGCCCGAGCGCCACTCGAAACACCAAGGAGCAGGCGCGCCTCCCACGCGTCGTGCTGAGTGCGAGAAGCCAGACTCGGAAGGGGGGCACGCGGGGACCTGTCTGCGGAAGCTCGAGGTGGGGGCGCGGCAGGCAGCCGGCGCCCCTGTGGGCGGGAAGGGCACGGGGAACTTTCCGGATAATGGAGGTGTTGTCTGTGTTGACAGCGTGCGGACTACGTGGGGGCGTGTTTGTCACAGTTCTTTTTCTAGAACTGTACACGCACAGACGCTTTGCCTTGAGAAAGAGAAGTCGGAGTTTCTGCCACCGGCTCCCCGTCTGCCCCAGCTCGAGAACCCTCCTCTCCTGTTCCCTGTGGCCGTGAGCCCCTCACCCAGCAAGGGTCCAACCCTCCAGGGGCCCACAGCACCCCCTGGTGGGCAGAACACAGTATGCACTCATTCACGCCAACCCCTCCCCTCCAAGTGAGCAGGATGGGACGTCGCCCTGGGGTTCTGCACGGTCACTGGGGCCCCAAATCGGTGGACTCTGAGATTCCCGAGGGTGAGTCAGACCTGAAAGACGCCCCTGAGATCCCTCCAGCTCGGTCTTCCTATGGATTGCCCGCGGAGGGGCTGCCAGCTACAAATCGGGGACCCCAGCCCCGCAGCAGCAAGCTTGCGAAACCCATCAACAGCTAGCAGCCTGGAAGAGGCCCCAAGCCTGGGATGAGACGGGCGGACAGCCCGCATCCAGCCTCTGGGCCCCGGGCAGGACCCACTGAGCTGCGTCCGAACCGCCGGCCGTGGGACCGAGAGAGGGCCCGTCTGTGCTGTCGGAGCTGTGGAGCTGGTGGTGATCTGCTGTGCGGCTGTGCTCGTCGGCACACACTGCGTCCTGTGTCACACCTCACCCCCAGGGCTTGTAACCTCTGGCCATAGTTTAACAGACCCCCTCCTGGGATTCCCCGCCCTCCTGGGATCAGGCCCACTGCGCGGTGGGGACAGGAGGCGGGGGCCCCTCTCCCTCCATCCCGGGTCACACACGGGGCCATCCTCCTTCTGAAGGTCTCCATCAAGGCCCCTGAGACCGCTGCCCCTCCTGCGCAGCCCAGCCACCTCGCCCCCCGAGCAGGGCCGCCGGGGTTTTTGGGGCTGGCGGCCGACCCACCTCCATCCCTGGTCTCCACCTCCCTTTGCTGTTCGGATCCTCTCTGACTGGGGGTCATCCCGGGTTATCTGGGGGGCCAGGGTCACCACAAGGGTCACCAAGCCTGCAGGGATTTGTTGCAGCCATTGTGGGACACACACGTCTCCCGGAAACACAGTGCCTCTTTCAGCCTCCACCTTGCGGCCCTGGTCGGACGCTCTGAGCTTTCTTTTCCAGCTGAGCCCGAGAGAGTCTGCCAGACGGGCCAAAACAGCACCCGGGTCACCGGATGATCAGTTGGCATGTTTATAACTTGAGTTTGCTTCCCAAATCCTGACCACGGACCATACGGCTGTGGCTGCTAGCT